CAAAGTGCAGACAAGTGTCCAATCAATATCCTGCGCCGTTTCCAGTGGTCTATGCGGAAACTCTTCCTAGTTTCGTTCTTGACAGGAGTCCCCGAGTATTATCCAATAAAGACTTGGTGCTATTTTTTACGTCTACCTTCAAGGTGATCGAGTTCGATAGCTATTGGGACCGCCCTACAACGGCCCCTTACAGGTGTGTCTCTCGAGGTACAAAGAAATTTCCCATTCAGCGCCGTTTTCTGTTGTAGGTGAAATAATGTAATGTACCACGGAACTGACAGATCTGTACGGACTGGTGAGATTCACTTTTGGCAAGCAGTAACGACGGGCACCAAGACGCAATAATAAACCTGGATATAGAATGCGTTGTGCATTACAGAATTTTCGGCTACATCCATAGTTCCCGACTCGGAGCTCGCTACAGATAGTCTCAGATTATACTGACAAGACCACGTTGAAAAACGTGGCGGTGGTATTTTTTTAATATCAGAGCCTCACCTGTACAATGGCCCTGTACAAAGGCCACAAAATGTTTTGCAGAACCGGATGGGTACATCCGGACCGTTTGCTCCGTGGCCAGCCAAGCACTAGACGACTTAGCCCACCTCCCTCAGAAACAAACAGTCTTTCCCTTCAAACTTTTTGTTTTAAATGCCAGATCCTTGCTTAATAAGATGCCCTTGCTTTAGACTCTGGTGTTCGTCCATTGTCCAGATATGGTTTTGGTAACTGAGACGTGGAATCAGCTTCCGTAACTGACTCCAAACTCTCGTTTCTAGGCTACAATTGCATCCGAAATGATCGCTAAGATAGCCGTAGTGGGGGCAGTTGCGTCTACGTTAAGCAAACACTTACATTTTTGTCGCTTGACCTCCCGCATTTTTCCGCAGTTGAAGGCAGCTGCTGGGTTCAGGTGTCACTAAAAAATAAGTTATCCTTACTCGTTGGCTGCGTCTAACGCCCTCCCAACCCCAACGACAATTTTGACCGTTTACTCTTACAGGCATTTCATGCTGCTGCCGACTTAGGCTTTAAGTATCAGTTGGTTGCGGGTGACCTTTATCTACCCGAATTCCGCTGGTCTCCGCTTTCAGGCCTTAGAAGATTCGAAGACTTTCCTGAGGCTGTAGATGTTGGAATGTGGACGCAGGTTGTCAATTTGCCCACCCGAGGATCAAGCATACTTGACCTGATTTTCTGTAGAGGCTGCATACCTTAGTTTTTGTCATCCATGGCCCATTCGGAGGCTCAGGCCATTACATATTTGTTGAGAAGGTGATACCGACAAAGACAAGGGAGACCGGAATGGCCATTTCTGGCTTATTAGCCGTCATCAGCCAGTCATACCCAACCCCGGTCTCCCTTGTCTTTGTCGGTATCACCTTCTCAACATATATCACTAGTCGCTGTGCGACTGCCTGCGAGGGTTTAAGTATGAGCCCCAAGGCACAACGGAACGAGCATGTTCCGTAACCTGATCGGTGATCGCCCACTATCATCATTACATATTTGTTTCAACGTTGGGATTCGAGGCTGACAAAACGTTGTCCCAAAAGTATGACTTTTTCCACGATTTCCGATCAACTCGCTCAACCGAATTATTAACACGCCTTTATTCCTACGACGGGACGGGTTTCTTCCCTAGTTCGGATGTAAATGTTTGCAATGCAAAACTGTACACCCGCGTGGCCTAAACATCCGCATAGTTATCACCAAAAGACTTTACTCAAGAAGCAAAAATAAACACGTACTAGTAGCATTCTTCTCACATACCGAGGCCTAGTTGGTTCTACAAAAGTCTGGATTAAACAGAGGTCTGCGGAACCTAAAATCATTCGTTGGTCCAGATTTAACATATATGCAAAGACGTAAACTGCAACATAAAGACACCGAGTCTAAACACGATGATAAGCACTCATCTACCTCAATTAAATATGAAGCAGGTACTTCTCATTCTGGCACTAATAAAAAAGTGCACAACCCAGCTAAAACAAAAGGATAAACGTTCCATCCCGTTAAATGAAATTCCAGCGAGTACTTCTGACTCTGATACCCATGAACAAAAACGCATAAATGCAAAAGCGGCAAGGACGGGCAGGAGGAATCAAACAACGGCGGGACAGCAAGGCACCATTACTTAAACGAAACAGAACGAGGACGTGGACATCGGACCCAGTCACGTGGCACCAATAGAAAGTAAAATAAGTTTTACTACGACGCCCGAAAACGACCAACCAGTAGTGAAAATTGAGCGCCAAAGCACACAAATCAATAAGCCTTATTAATTACACCAGTACAACTAAACAACTTAAGTATGTAGACCTAAGAAACAGGAGTACTCCAAACTCCCACCAGACGTAGATAAGCGTCTAAAATTGTACTCCAACTCCAAAAACACGCCTGTGTGGCATAGGAATAAGCCAAACCATTAAAAACATTTCAAACCTCTTTGAACCTAATGACAGACCTAGAATTACTTATGGTTACACACTTCCCCAAGGAAAATTCCATTTAGATACAATGACCACCTACTTGACCCGGCATTTCAACCGTCATTGCCTACCATATCCACCGCTTGCTCCACAGCAGGGTGAGAGCAGGGACGGTGACTTGTGAGTGATTTGGTTTACGGTGAGTGCTGACTAGCACGGCACCAACCGCTCTCTCCCCTCATCCAAATGGACCCGGTGTCAAGACAGAGTTAAAAAGACCGGAGGCGGGGAGGGCGCAGGTTAATGGCACGACTAAGTCCGCGCCTTGGCGTTTCTCTCCATACTCCCTGATCCACATAACAAATGACCAGGATTTTATCCAACAACAAACGGATGACTGCACGGCCGAAGCCACACCTAGACTTGCTTTCACACTTGGCTCGGATCCCACGGAGTGGGAGTGTCATAATGGCCACATTAAGAAGGAGCCATTGCAGCCTGACTCTATACCGTCAGCCGGCAACTTCACACAAACACGTAACACTGGGTCGACTGCGAGGGTCAATTTATCCTGTCACTTGGAAACCTTCCAGGCCACGGCTTTTATCGCACCGTGGTAGCTTCAAGCGCGTCAGCTTATATTCAATTCAATTCAATTCAATTATTTTATTAAAGTCCCGTCGGGGTCCCATCAAAGCAAGTAAAAATAAATTTACATGCAAATTTTAGACGATGTAGGCAAAATCTGCACAAAGTGCAATGCATAGTTTTTGAGATTAGAAGTCCGTTAAGCAAAATGAAAATGAAAAAAAAAAACGAGGGGTGAAAAAAAAACTCCAAAGCAAGATTTAAAAATGATTGTAGTAATTTACAAGGAGAAAATGTAGTGAGGAAAATGCCGTCGACCTCACTCGCTCTTCTCATTCAAATGCCCCAGTCACTGTCCGAGCCGGTCAGTTGACAGATGCGGGGAATGGACGCGGTGGCTGGAATATCTAGTGACCTAAGTAACTATGGGGGAGGTGGAAGGGGGAGGAGGATGAGGATCGTAGCAGCGAGGGGTCCGGGGGCGCGGTCATTGTTACTTGTCGGCGTGGGGCAGAAGGCAGAATTGAACGAGGATACAGCAGCTGATGTAGTGCGGGTGTTGCAGTTGGTGCGAAGATGACCTAGAAGGTCAAGTGGTGCCCGGAACGTCCACCGACAGCGTGGTCTGGTCAAGAGCTGGTTGAGCATTGGTGTTGCGACGTTGGCACCGTTGAGATTTGCGAACCTCGCCTTTGGCTTTGGCGGCGGTGGGGGAGTTGATTTGATAGACCGCTGCACCTGTTTTCACTGTCCCCCTCCAGGTCGACCGGTCTCGGGTGAGTTGGCCCGTTCGATCTTCAGACACTTTAGGGATGTCTGCAGAGTGTTCTTGCATCGACAACCTTTGCCTCCTTGTCGGTAGGAACCAATGGCAAAATTTCCGTAGAAGAGTCCTTTGGGCAACCGTTCGTTGCTCATCAGTAGTTGGTGTCCGCTCCAACGCAGCTGTCTCAACAAAGCGTAGACACTGAGGATTCCCTTCCCTACATCTTTGTCTCGGATCCGGTCCTGCTACCTTAGCTTCAGAATCTGACGTAGACAGTTAAGGGGGGAAATAATAATAATAATACACCATGAAAGTGTCCGCTACCCATAACAGTGCTGGCAGGAGAACTGCCTTGCGAATCTTTAGTTTGCTGTTAGGTGGCAATTTCAGACTGTGCTTTGTAAACGGCCGAAGGTTTGGCTGGCTTTGGAGATCCGGCGGGCCACTCATCGTCGATCTTGGTGGTGCGGGAAAAGGCCCTGCCCAGGTAGACAAAGTTGCCCACGACCTGTTCGTGGTCCAACGATGAAGACGGAAGCCGCACTGACTTTCCGGCAGGAGGCTCTGTTCCAGATGATAGTTCAGGCGCTTGGGGGAAATGCGAGCGAAGATCTTCCCGGCGAGGTTCAGCAAGGTGATGACTCGATGGCTGTCACAGAGATAGCGTTACATTTCTGGGTATGATACCAATGTTGCAACACTCCGATTGGCGCCGAATCGGAATATTGCGACACTGATATCATAGCAATGTAAATTTTTCCGTGTTTAAACTTTAACCATAATTTTATCCTAAACTTAAATAAGACCATAGCCTAAGCTTTAGCACCAACAATAATCGCCCTGCAAATGTTACCCATGTCCCCTGGCATATATGGTTTATGTTCCCATGTCTTTTCCTGATAGCTCTTAGAAGAAATACCCATACTTTAGTGCGCGCCCAAAGGTCAGGTTAGTAAATCGCCCTGCAAAAATGTTTCCCTTTCTGATGTAGTTCTGAATCATTAAAAAAACAATTTAAAGTTTTTGCACTGCAGGTCATTTACGGACCAAAGGTAAATTAATTAAGAAAATGCAGCAAATTCAGATAATAGCTATGAAACGTTGTAAAGTCCTCAAACAGTATATCACGTTTTTGCTTGTTTAAATCGTTCAATTGCATGAATTTTAGCGACCTCAGTGGGGGCTAATCCCTGGTCCCGCTGTTCTCTGTTAGGATGGTATGTTCATCGCCAAAAGTATTTGGGCCCGAGTATTCCTTTGCACCTAGCAAAACTAATAAATCTCTACGAACGTATAATCAATGCTTTGTTTCTTGTTATGCCGTGGTGTTTGCACGTGGCCTCTTCGGGATGTGAAAGTATTTACGAGCATTCCTATAGGAATGCTTGTAAAATACTTCCACACCTGCATCCCCTGAGTTTGATAGCAGACCTATTGCACGCGTTAGCAATAGTCTTCGAATTTAAATTGACACAACGGAAATCAGCTTACTACGTGCTTACAACAGTTCGATGGACAAAAGGAAACAAATGTCCTCCCTTTGCTAAGACAGTCTCAGTTGACCATGAAAACAAATGAAGGAGACTGTCTTAGCAAAGGGAGGACACTTGTTTCCTTTTGTCCATCGAACTTTTGTAAACACGTATCAAGTTGATTTCCGTTATGTCAATATAAATGCGAAGACTATTGATAGCGCTAGCAATAGCTTTGCTAGCATGCTCAGGGGATGTCGGTGTGAAAGTTTTTGCCTCATCAGCCATAGGTTGCGATAGGCGTCCTACGCGGATAAGGAAGATATGACACCTGAGTCAGATTACAGGTGACCACTTGTATTATTGACGTGCCTGTTAGGCCACAAAATTCTGATCCGTCAACTCTAATCGACCATTGCACGAAATTGTATTTGCGTAACGCCGACGGGCTCAACTTTTTTGAAAAAATGAGGTGTGTAAGAACCTTAGCTTGATTTTTCCTTTTCGTCAATTAAAATAGTGTTGTTTTTCGAGCAACTGCCATTATCGTTCGAATCAGTCTGTCTCTTCAGTTTATTATTTTTTCCCATAATTATGCGTTCTGTGCTACTGATCCACCAACTTGTTCTTTTTCGGTATCTCTCGGAGGCTGCGGTTATGACTTACATAGTTCTTTGCGGATAGTTCCCAGCATAAATCGCCCGATAAAAGAGATGTTGGTCTCAAACTCCTAGGAGGCCTGAAATGATAAGGTGAAGGCTTGTTAAAAGTCACTTTTGAATGACTTGCGCTAGGCGCATTCTTAATGGCCTTTTATAGTTCTTGTGGCATGTGAGTTTTAGTTTATTTGTACTCGTTGATTGTTGTATCTATTCGTAGTTGAGTCCGCTGCGTCCTGTTTTTTTGTTCAGACATCTATGTAGAGTAGCTTTTATCTCCCCATTAGACCGCTGACCGCATTATGTCAGTGTTACTGTAGACCTCTGTCGACACTTTGTGCTAGCCGACGGGCTTTACTACCGAATTTCGATACAATATTGAGGAGTGAGAAATGTCTTGGAGACCCAGACATTTACTCGCGAAAGGCTGAAAAATTTGCGACAGACTGTCATCAAATGCATTTGCTGGAACCTTTGCCTGCTGGGAGCTCACATCGTTATTCTGAAAAGTCACGTGCTGTCGTGGGATAGGTCGGCTGCAATCAACATCTGCATGCTTAAAGTTTGATGAGTGGAGACATGTCTGATCTATCCTTTATCTCCAGTGGTCCGGCGACGGACCGCATATTCTTGAGGAGAAAGGGCGGCTGCTGCCACCGTTACCCAATTTTTTTTAAGTCGGACGCGATCGATTTTTAGTGCTGCCTACTACGCACTGAGCTTGACACAGCGATTTATGCTCTCATTTCCGGAGTTCTGAGCCTCATCGAAATTGCAGCTGCTTGCTAAGGACTCTGCAAACACTGCGACCTTCGAATCGAGTCATCGACTATTTTGCTGTAAATGCATAAGACGAACAACAGCTGGCTGTTCATGCTCTGTGAGACGAGTCGGAAGGAATCGATCTAAAAGGCCAACTGACACATGGGATGGAGAAATAACGTCGGCCTACCGATACCTTGAAGTTATATCCTCGATCCACGGCTACTTTGTTTACGTAGACATTAAGACCTGCGGTCAACGTAGATACAGAAAATCCCTTGGTGTTGGTAAATTGCCTTGGAGAGTTTTGTTGGATATCAAACTTTGTTTACATGGCAAGAGGCAGAATTTACGAGGGATCAGTGTTTTGACTTGAAGGTAGTATACTGGACAATTATGGGCTTCTAGGCGGTGAATTGGGCGGATTTGTACTGGACAAAAAGGTATGCGCGAGAGCGAAAATCAGAAAAGCCGGTGATAGGTAAATCGGTGATTATCCATTCGCCGATCTTAGGCGAATTATCTATTGGATTAGTGTGTCCGCGTAAAATGCCTGTCAAAGTTTCGGTTTTGTGAAGTATATAACAATTTTTCAGAGTGGCGAACACTTGGGTCACCTCTACTCTTCGTCTGCTTGTTGGCATCTAGCCCCATCTACTGCAATAATAGTGCGGCGGCTGTGAAGTGACAGAAATACCGGCTCCCGTTGAGCGAAAACAAAAAAGCGGTTTTCTACAATGGAGTAAATGACGGCTGTGACAAAAAAAATCAGACAGGTAAACCCAAATAAGCATATAAACCGAGAGAGAAAGAAAAGGTTCAATGTTAAGATACTTCACATGCAGTTCGCGCTCATCTATCCAGATTAAATAACAACTGCCCATGTATAGACGCCAGATATTTCGGTTCGAGTAATAGTCCATTCGGAAGAATTCCCGCTGTACTGCTTCAACACGCATTTTCGACTAAGTCAATAACTAAGCCAGTCAAATGCCTGTCTCATCAAATAACCTTTTGAAAAGCAAATTCAGTCTTTTCACACTCTACAAGCATCTATTAGAAAAGGGAATTATTTTACAGGCTAAGTGCTCTCAGGTAACCGTAGAAAATAAACCCTTCTAGTGGTGCCATTGCACGCACAGGCTTTACCTCGGCCAAAACAACTTAACGGTGACTGGCATACTTTCACTTGGATAGTAGTTTGCTGTTTGCCATCCAAGGAAAATGGGACGAAAGAGCTAGCTCCATCATGTAACCACATCAGACCGATGAATGTCACTCTCATTTAGTACGAGTGGTCTGCATCATAGACGATCTAATTGGATTGGTGTCTCAGCCGTTTACTGGGATATTTACTTCGAGCTTTCATGTCTTGTGGATACATAGTGGCAGCTTGACGTCGCACAATAGAAGCCAATTTTTCAAATTCACCATGCTAATTCTTGAATCCCTTTAGTTTTGCGTGCATTTTTGTAATATTTTAGATGTGTTTTACGGTCAGAATAGCAAATTACAGATGCACGGAGATGAGCGCATTGCGGATGACAACTGAAGAGTAGAGGGAATTGCTTTCAAGTCTAATATTTGTAGTTTGCGGCTTTGCATGTATAGACGTGCTTATATCATTGCACTACTGCGATTCCTGATAACATGATTTTTATTTCGACATATTTACTTAGTGAGGGCTGCAAGGTCTTTTGACGTCGACTTCAGATATTATGTGGGGAATGTCGTTTAATTGGAGGACTCCCACCCAACAGGGGTGGTTGTCTAACAAAATGAATTACTCTGATAAGCATTATTTATTCTCAAACTGAAAGATAAGAATGGATTACTCTCAATGGATTACACTCATCAACAGAGGGGCTGTACGAAACATTTATTATGTCTTACCTATTAGTGGAACTCCCACGCCAAGTCATTTCCCAACATTTTAGGCGAACGAGGACAGAGTATGTTTTCGGTCTGCTGACGAAGTTGGCATTTGCTCCAGGCTTTTCTTCTGCTGGGTCAATCCTGTCCTTCGCATAACCGGAAAGCGTCCTCTGAAACAGGATGACATGCCCTACACGATTCGGAGCCATTCTTCGGAAAAAATCACCATGGATCTGCAAAAGTATGCTTTGCTTTACCTACGTTTTTGGGAATTGGGATGTTTGAGGTGGATTTCATCTTGTAACCGATAGTGACGCAAGGGCGAGATTTTCTACGGCGTACGCTGCATCGCATGTCTGCAAAATATCTGCTCCCTCCAAGCTACGCATGCCGCTGCCGGCAGTTCGTAAGTACTGCAACAGTTCCCGAGGGGTGCATCGTGTGACTTTGTTTGTGAGGGAAACGTCGGCAGCCCTACCTAACTCTCCTGCAGGTCAAGGCGATTTCAGATGGACGTGGATACAGTGACTGCTCCGTTAAAAAAACCACAGCGTATGCTTGCACAGAAACACCGGTCACCACTGCCAATTGCAGTAAGCATTGCCACTAATCGTAGATATGAGTCCAAGCTGTGGATCTTAGGTGCTTAAACCTTTCGGCGAAACTTACGATGCCTGACAGAAGATACCTTTTAGGAAATATTATTCATTCAGATCTTACCATAAATTTGGGGGAAATTTTGACTGAAAAGCCAAAGGGAGTTACATCACGTCAAAGTATTATGCAACCTCGTGTCGCATAACTCATGAAGGTGACAGGTGAAATTTGCTTTCATTCGGAGAATGCACATGAAAGACATTTTAAAACAGCCAAATCTGGTTATTATCACAACTGACCAGGGGGGGCATAGCAGCAAAATGTTTGGTATTCAAAACATGCCGAACTTTTTCTGACGCCCAAGCCATGTACACCGGTATCAGATTGACTTGTCTCTTAAATAATCATGCATTCGATAATTGCATTATAATGCACAATAACGGGGAATTCTAAAAGGAGCTTGGAAGGGTGAACACAGGCTGAACAACTTTGGTCCACCTAGTCCGTTTGAAATGCGAATATCTGAGAAACGTGAGGGCAGCTGCATTGCAGGTCCACTCGTTGGTATAAATCATCTTACACTTGCTTACATTTGAAAATAAATTTCGTCCTTAAATGGCAAGAATGTGTCGAAAAACTTTGGAACTGGTTACTTCTTCAAGCTCTGTCACAGAAGATTGTTGTGCTTTCAAGTAAAACGTTCTGACTGATTTTTTTTGCAGAGGTTGATTGTAGGAGGTCGACTTCTAACAATTATCTCTACCTTTTTGTAATCTGTCTATAATCCACATGCACGTTTCGCCCGCTATTGGTTTAGCGGTTTGCCGGATCCAATATTTTTCCAAGGTATGATTCAGCCACTCCCTCAGTTGGCTATTGCCGCGATACGGGTGCCAAATCAGACAGGGATTCGTGAGACTTACGCTGCGAAATACCCTACCGGTCGATAGAGTACATGAATAAACCACTAATGTAACACAATTAAACGGAAATATTCCCGATGGGTCACACAGTTGCACCTCGGGACTGTGGTCCAGTCTATTTTGGAGGCACCAGTCACCGAGTACACGGCGTGACCGATCTCATGAATTGTTCGCCAAAATTCTGGATTGCGTTTCCGATAAGGAATACTTACTTAAGTGGGGTTGTTATACTGATTGTCATGCAGCATAACCCTATAACGTTTCGGACTCGCGGGATGCCGGCTTTTGAATGCACTTCTTTTTGACCTCATGCAGAAACCACATTCGGTAAAAATGACTGCTTAAGTAGCATGCATTTTTCCTATTGATTTTCGATAGTATTATAAATTCAAATATATTTTATAGAGAACATGCACTAAAGTATGATTTCTTTTGTTCATTTGGTAGGAAATCAAATTTTCACCACATCTTATGCCCGAAGAAAGTGTATATTTTGGCTTTAAAAAGGTTTCCAAATTCCCGAATAATTTTTAGCCTGATCTGCCATTGCATCAGCGGTTAGCAACTCCAGTCTACAACGTGCATGCTTTCCGCGTAAGAAAAATCATATATTTCTCTATGCCTTTAAGAAGATACCACATAGAGTTCATGAATTTTCACAATGTATCCGGTTTGTGTTGCACATTTAATGAGGAGCATTAGTAAATGGACATGTGCGGTCTTCCACGCATGGACATCGCACGGTCTTGAAAATTTCATAATTAGAGACTTTTGTAAAACCAAAATATACACTTTCTTCGGGTATAAAATAGGAAGACAATGTGATTTCTTACCAAATGGGCAAAAGAAAGCATATTTGTGCATGTTTTTTTATGAAATATATTTGAATTTATAAGACTTCAAAAATCAATAGGAAAAATGTACGCTACTTAGGTAGTCCTTTTTTACCGAGTGTGGTTTCTGCAGGAGGTCAAAAAGAAGGACATTCAAAAGCCGACATCCCTTCGAGTCCGGAATGTTATCAGTATAATGGTAATCAGTATAACAATCCGACTTAAGTAATCCTTCCTGATCGGAAACACATTCAACAATTTCGGCCAACATTTCATGAGGTCGGTCACGCACTGTAACTTGATATTTCGCAGATAAATGGAGTTTCACCAGCACATTGCGCTGCTGCAAACTAGAATGGTAGGATGTAGTTATGTAGCCGGACGAAAGCCCCAACCAAGTGGACATTGAAGAGCACCATTTTGCCGCAAAAAGCATCGGCAAGGTCCCGGAAGTGGGAGATGGGAAAGCGATCTCGGTTGGTTACTTTGTCCAACGAACAATAATCATTGTAGGCTGCAGCCGCCAGTGATGGCCTCGCTGACTGTGTGCTGGGTAGCCGCCCAGGTTTGTAAGTGTCGGTAACAAGGACGACTAATGGTAGAGTGAACACAAATTGCCATCAGATCTCCATTGTTCAGCGAAATCAATGATTGCCAAGGTCCGAGGGGAACACGTTTTTACCATGCTATATTTGAGTTATTGTGGCAACAGTCGCATCTATCGCACCTTTCTAGAGTACTGACGAGAAGAGTCCATTTCCAACACTGAGGATTTTATCTTACGCCACGTGCTAGACCGCAATTTTTTATTAGCAGTTGACTCCCGCAGAATGGCAGGATGATATGAACAAGCCATTTTTGAAGCCTGGTTATGCTTGGATAATAACTACAACATGTAGAGCATTCGTAGCCGGGGTCAGCAACTGCGATCCCGGGTAAGATGTGGTTATGTGGCCGCACCCGATGGACACAGTACTGTTGACCTACTTAATTATTTTGAGTTGGTGTGCTTACGTTGGCATGGTGTTGCTGTGCGTTGCGGTGTGTATTCTTTTGGCTACCTTGTTTCTTTATTGCCGTGTCCACCTTATTTGGCCCAATACCTGTGGTTCTTCTTGACTTTCAGTCTGTCGTCACCTAACTTTCACGTTGGATGTTTCAGGGTTACGGTTTAGGTCTGCGGTTAAAGGTTAGAGCTAGGGTTGGAGCTATGGTTATGGTTAGGGGTTACGGCAACTATTTCCCAACCATTTACTGTACAATCTCGCATTCCCAATAGCTTTTCTTTTTGCCTACAACTGCTTGACCTCGTCATCTGTGGGTTCCGCGACTCCATCCGTAAAAGTGGTTGGGTTTTTCTTACTTCAGGTGCGTCTACATAACTGCATCTGATTACTAGACTTTCCGCCGCAACGTCATACAGTTGAATCTTCGCGTCCTACTGGACTTCACAGCGAAACCACATGCATTTCGAAGATCGACTAGACCTACTATTTACAATTTATGTTGTAGCGGCTATGACATTGAATGCGTCTTAACCACTACAATAACTATGACCCAAGAAGAAGAGAAAGACGCGGGTGAGCAGGGTCCTTGGCATTGGCTTAATTAAATCACCCATGTAACACGACGATCTTTCAGTTCGTAACTAAAAGATGTTTCCCGTAGGCTACGCAGATCCAAATCCGGACTGTTGTTCATAAGTCGAAGCCGCAGTCTACTCTGGAGGCGCCGGTTGCCGAATATCTTGATTTTCTGCAGATCATTGGAATTTTAACAGTCCACTGCGTTGCTGAAAACTATAGTTTCCACCGTAACCCCGTATAGTTGAATCCTTGCTTCCTGCTGGACTTCAGGGCAAAACTACAAGCACTTTGAAGATCGACGGAACCAACTATGCAGCTATGTGGCGGCTAGGAACGTGGATGTGTCTTAACCAATAAAAAAATAATGATTCGGTCCCGTTTTGTAGGAGAAACAGAACGGCACCAGCAGAAGTCGTCTATTCTGTCCTGAAACTCGGCGATGGTCGGAGCCCGCGGCAGTGGCCAACTCGGGGCCTGAGTGCCTTTCCGCTTTAGTAGGTTTGTGAGAGCTGGTTCAAGTGTCTTGGTGCCCAAGTGGCGTGTGTTGCATAAGTCGCGGAGCGACATGTTCAAGTGGGGCGCATGGACGGCTGTGGCCATCCATGTGAGAAGGGGTGACCGCCGCTTTGACGTTCCTAGCTTTCGGTTTCAGTTAAGTATCAAGCCCGATCAATTGCTTTCTGTTAACGACGTTTGCCGAACCGGACAACGCCGTCGGCGTAATCAAGGTCAAATGTGGTATCTTGCTGACTTGGCTTCTCATCTAGTCGTAAAGTAATATTAACGAAACAGAGTCCAAGAGGACTGTTGAGAAAACAGCCTCGTTAGTAGTCGGCGCTGACGAGGAATTACTAGCTTTCTTCGCCGTAGAGTGACTTTGGAATAGACCCTTATCAGGTTAGTGGATTTCTGGGACATGTTATGATTCTCCATGATTCTCTAGAGGTCAGTTCTCTTTACTGACGCGAAGGCAGCAACGAAATCGAGAAGCTAGACTATAGTTATCTGCGGAAGCTAATGTCTGCCATAGGCCTAATCGCAGGAGGAATATGTCCTTGGTGCACTCTATGTCAGATTCGAATCTTTGTCCGTACGTTCCTACCTAAATAATGTCCGCGAAAATTTCGGCGACGTCAGTCAGCCTGATTCTTCTGTTATTGCAACATTCCGTATTTTTCTAGTCTCGAAGAACCCCAAAGAAGTTGGAGAGTGATTAAACAGGACGACTCCAGCGCTGTGATTCATACTCTGACCCCAACGACCGGTTGGGCTACAGATGTGCTAGACAAGAATGTGAGTAAGGTTGGCTCGCAGCACCTGTTTTCGGGTCTGCGCTGCGTCCGCACGCGCTCATAACCACTGTCTTACATGCATGCAATGGAACGACTTGGACGTAGGCCTTTACACAGCGCCATCCACTGCACTCAATCCCAGCAAGCGTTGGTTGACAGGCTCAAGCAGTCGATTGGTGCATGGGAGAGGGAGCAGAAAGTGAGACCGACGCTGCTAAATCTATCCTCACGACAAATCGGCGCATTCCGCACCCTAATACGTCTGCCGCTCCTGAACCTATTACGACCTGTAATAGTCTTGGCCTGAAAGGTCACAAACAGACGCGATAACTGGGTCCTTCTCAGGATGGCCAGTCAGACTGCAGCGACTCCTCAGTGTGGCCTTTATCGCTTTTTCACTAGTGAATAATCTCGGCCGTCGCCTACAGCGGCCATTTACATGCAGTGGGGATCACGTCATGCGTGAGGCACTGGGGCAGTACGGCCCAGCGTCGCGCCAACTCCATGGGGGACCCGGTTGGCGTCGTCGATTGCAGCGGTAAAAATGCCGTCGCCGTAGTAGTAGTAGCAGTAGTAGCAGCAGCCCTGTAAAAGTACTAACAGTAACAGTAATAGTAGTAGCAGCAGCAGTAACAGTAGTAACAGTAGTAACAGTAATAGTAGTAGTAGTAGTAGCAGCAGTAGTAGTAGTAGTAGCAGTTGTAGTAGTAGTGGTGGTGGTAGTAGTAGCAGTAGTAGTAGTCGTAGTAGTAGTAGTGGTACTGGTAGTGGTAGTGGTACTGGTAGTGGTAGTGGTACTGGTAGTGGTAGTGGTACTGGTAGTGGTACTGGTACTGGTACTGGTAGTGGTAGTGGTAGTGGTAGTAGTAGTAGTAGTAGTAGTAGTATTAGTAGTAGTAGTATTAGTAGTAGTAGTAGTAGTAGTAGTAGTAGTCGCCACCATCTCTGTCGGTCACGACACCCTGTCTCAACTACTAAAATGTCTTCGAAGGCTTTTCATTAGTAACACCAAAGTAGCTCTTGTGTGCCTCAGATGGCAGTCCCCTCTCACTTTGAACTCTTTCCGCCAGGGTCCTCCAATTTCGGCAACAGACGACAGTGCACGGTCGCGGTCCTTAAAATGGCAGTCCCCATAGTATCTCAGTAAACCCCGTTCAGAGAGGACCGATTGACCTGCTCGGTAGTATTTCCAATGCAGTGGCGTAGATTAGTACTTTTGGCTGAGAGTTGAATTTTCTTCGCGATAATTGAGATACGTGATGTACGGTGAGTGGAGACCCCTGGTTTCGACAACGTGTTCTGTCTCGGTCTGCAGCTTTCGCGGGTTTCTATGGGACGCTTCGGAGACAGAAGAAAAATGATGTCTAATTATTTCTGCCTTTAACTTTTGTTGTCAATAATGCATCAATTTTTCACGTTAGGCAATATCTCCTAGCAGGAAGATGCCACACAACAATCAAACTCAATTGTTTAAGTACTAAAACCTATCGGATATCCTCCCCTACTTGATTCGGACAAGAATCCGAAACGTAAGGCGAACAAAACTCCTGTCCTAGTGATCGTGTCTCCTTCATAGTGGGTTGAACTGTCCAGGTATGCCGACACGGAGAGGTCCAGTTTGGGCTATCATCGAGGCCATCTAGATCAGCCACGATGGCAGCCGTACCAGGTACGAGTGGGTAAGCGCACGGAAGATGTCATTTACTGGCACGAGCGACCGGGCAACTGCAAATCTCCAGAATACGACGCACGGGCAGTGAAGTTCCAACCTCACTTCAATCTCGACTGATCCAAATCTCTCACGCAACAATCAAATTTAGTTGCTTAAGTGCTAAAACCCATCGAATATTCTGCCCTACCCGTAATCTAAAGGGAAGTCGGTTGTGTTGACCTCTTCAACCTTGACATGCGTCCGCCAGTCACTCGTCCCAGTTTTTTTTAATCATACGACCCTAACTTTCCCCAATATGAAGGAGAGCTGTTGGAACAGCCCGTTTGATCTCTGCGAGTAAACAGCGATGCAGACGGATCCTCTGCCCAGGCGACAGCCCATTCCGCCTCTTTATTGGCCGGCTCTTGTCCAATCCGTGTGTGCGTCTGTAGGCGTTCATAGCTATTTGTCTACAAACCGCCGATTTCGGTAGCGACCTCGTCACATTTGCTTGCAGTCAGCTGTTTGTGTGGTTAGTGTACTTGGGGCTAGCATAGCACGAAAGATGGGGCTCCTGCCGTGCTTTCCTTTTCACACTGTTTCCCTCCTCTGAAGGTGTTTTGTCGCCTTCTTAGCCCTGCAACTCAACAACCTTCGAAGAATGAAAGTTCCTCTTTAAATTCCCTGCAGCCTCAATTACTTTCTTCCACGTATAGTATGTGCGTGTCTCCCATCCGCAGTTACACCCATTTAGCCAGGATTAAAACACTGGTGAGCAACTGTTTTACTTAATTACTTAGCGAACCAGTCTTCATATGCGTTGGCAGTTAACTTCTCTCAGTTCAGTATTCGTTCACAAGATATGGTTTGCAGGTGGGGAACATGTGTTGGATCGTTTACGAGTTCAGACGACAAATTCGGGCGGGACGTATTAGGGGAAAAGGTCGTATATGTATTCTGAGAACTTTCGATTACACGAGTGATGTTAGGCACGATTTGGGCCATAGTAGGCGTGGAACCCGAAGTTCTTTCGTGCAAAGTTAGCCGGGTTTTCTAGTCGGCCAGCTCTCAGTTCTACTGTGGCCAGGATGTGTCCCCTCGATGGCTTTGATTGGTCACCTGACGCTCAGATAGACCGCTCTAGAAAGTTAGCGACCGCACAGTGACCAAAATCAGTCCGATATGTCAGGACGGAACTGGGAACAGTCTTTGCATTGCTTCTTTCTAGCCAACGGGGGTGTTTGCTTGTCATGCTATCATGAAGAAAATAACTAACACATATTAGGAATGCAGCAGGCCCTGACATCGACTCTGTTCTCATATAGTGAAGTGGCTTTAGACAATGAGGGCGGCCAGTTTCTATACCACTTTTCGCTGAACCATTGTATGGCTGTTTGATTAAGATAGCTGTTTACATATCCTGCTTTATTTAGCATTTGAAAAACGTCTTTAGCGAGGGCAGGGTATGCGACCCCCCTGGATGGTTGTCCGAAAATCTACCCTCCTTTCTAATTTAGTTCATAATGGTATTAGCTGCCAACAGGTCGTAAAAGACTCTATGCTATACGCAGATCTCGACCTTTACTAGTGTTATTGGCGTTAAAGAGCTGCCCGTATCAGGCGCACAGTTGAAGTTGCTTGTCCAGCTTCACTCAGTATTTGGAAATTCAAAGGCCAGCTGGCGAACACGTGTACGTGTTCGTGATGCATCCGCATCACCCCTAGATTGGTGCCAAGTGCCATCGTTGTCTGTTTATTCTCGAGACGTCTGCCTTCTGAAAGTTGACTGCCGAATTTGTCAGTGGAAAGTGTGGTAGAATTGCGAAATCTTGTCTTTTTTTCAACCTCCGACTTGACCGTGCAGTCAAGCGATGACTCATGGAATTGAGGTTCACTTATTATCTTGTGAGACTTGATTGGAATTTAAATGGACAATTTAGAAGGTAGGAGGAATGGCCTCTGTAAAAGTCGCGTTCGCACACACGAACCTAGTCATCAGCAAGGCTGCACATTTGGCTAAGTCCTGGACATTGGTAGTTTTACCTCTTGTGTAGATCAAATACAGTTTAAAGCATGTTCCTTCCTACTATCTAAGGCATGACTTCCCGTAAGCTTGTGTTAGTGAAGACAGTTTAAGCATTCCTGCCTACCAAGAAAGGCCACAAGGTTTCAGTGGAAGACAAGAAGTTATGGATAGAGCCCTGGCCGCGTCAGAACAGGACGTTATTACCTCGCACCGGACGTCCATTGCGTCTTAGTGGCCGAATGATTTCAATGGCATCGAGACCATTTTTTCCTCAATTCAGGATTCTCTCTGCAGGTTTTTGTTTATAGACTGTGCAAGATGTGTTGGTATGACTTCTGCTTAAAAAATAATAAACGGACGCTATCTCTTCCTTCGAGCAACCGATAGTAGGCTCACTTCGATCGCGGTCTGCGACTAAACGATGTTTTTATTAAAACTCAACCTCTACTTGGGCATTTAAAAGTACTATCTGTGTTAATAACAGGTTAGATTTTGAACTCAAAGGAAAAAGTATACATACTAATGTGGTCAGAGTGCGTTAGGCAATTGGCAGCTGCTGCCAACACAATCATAATTAGTATCATAAATTATTGGGACTCCTCTTCTGTATGTAGCTCACCGTGTGGGTTCCAGTTAAGGACCATGCGAACAAGTTGCGTCTCTACGTCAGAGCAGACGGGAGGCCATATCGACCCCTAGCATGCTTTAGTCGAACTGCCCTGGGTCTGCGTAAGTCAACAGTTCGGCTGCCGCAAGCAATAACATCCACAGAGTGTACGCAATACCGGCGACTTGCGCATCAATTAGTTCATAATGAGGCAGACGTGCGCAGCATTCACCTTACTGTCTCCTCTCTCAAACACACCTCATCTGATGACAAGACAATAGCAAGACGCAGTGACTGCCCAAAGCTGAGCAGCTCGTCTACGTGTGCCACACACGACGTGGATCCCACTGCGGGTGCCAGGCTACGATATAGGCAACTCGAACTGCATATGCCTGGAGGAGCCACAAGGGCTAGATTGAGAAGGACGACTGCAGTCTTACTCTCTTGCAGTCACCCCAAAATACTCGCATTGGGGCCTGGTTTGCCCACCCCATCTCTGTGTCCCTGAATCCTTGAGTGTCGTGCACGAGTCAACTGCCCGAGCCTCGCGGTCAACTACCGATGGCACTAAACGTCGTGACTGGCAGCGGCGGCCGAACAGCCTGTCTGCATGACTTGTTTCCACGGCATGCACCAGACATGCGCCTTACATTAGCGAGATATACATGCACTGATCTGCGGCTTTTTTGCCCGCCATACGGGCGATTGATAAGTGGATCATCCTGTTTGCTTCGGGTGATAGGCATGGTGGTACGCGTCTGCGTGAGTCGATTCCGACGATGTCCACGGTGTGCTACGCAGCAGGGTGCAGCAGGCACGGTGACTTGCGCGTGATTTACTTTGTAGTGATACGGATTTGCGCAGAATCTACCGCACGCTCTTTTCTCCACTTCACATCTGGACGCCATGTCAAGACACAGTCAAGAAAACCAGAGGCGGAGGGAGGGCGTAGGCAGCTGACACGGCCGGGCCCGCACCTAGGCGTGCCACCACACCCCCTGGTCCACAACATACACTTGACTAGGATTTTTCACCAACAACAACATCCCAACAGTGGTCAGGATGACGGGGATGACTGGGCAGCCATGCCCACCACCTGTATACCCAGCGGAAGCGCATCTACCGGCAGGGAACCAGGTGTCAGGGGACTGCCAGCGCATACCAGGCTGTGAGGGCCATGGTTTGCTGATACTGATACAGCACACGCTTTCAGAACTGAGTAATTAATTGCTAACGTACATGTTTGTGCCACGCACTAGGCAGGGTATTTTACACGCTTTCGAAATATCATGTCGCGCTTATAATCAGGGTTTGGAAGGCTGGGAAATGGTTCAATAGTGTGATCCCACTTAGGAGTGAGGATCAGATGACAATGGACCCTTTATGTCTACTTTTTTGTACGTTACATTTGCCTGGACTTTGTTTTGCCCTTCATACCCGGTTAGGGGAGGGGGAGAGTGCCAGATGTCATATGCGCCTCCAAGAAAGTCTAAGGTAAAAAACCTAGAAAGTCTAAGGTAAAAAACCTTATTCCAGACCCTATTATCACACTCCGCCCTTAACATCCGCGCTACACTAAGAAAACTGCAGCCACGATGGAGTGTTCACTTCCTGAGGATGGAGGATGGGCAACTATCCAAAGTATTCTTCTATGGAGATGTCACCGGGAGCCTTCACCGACAAGAAGGTCCAACCCGGCGCTACAGGGAAATGTTTAAGAATTACTTGAGGTGGTTAAAAATCAACTCGAAGACTTAGAAAGACTATGAAGAATCGTCCAGCAAAGAGAAAAGCAGTGAAGATTGTAGCAGATGTTTAAGAAACCAACCGGATCGCCACTGCCAAAGACAAAAGAATAGCTCAGAAATCTCACGAGCCCCTGTCTTGTAATGCTAACATCTAACACCTCCCAACATATCTATATTGTCATCGAACATTCCGCTCGCGGATTGGCCTAGTCTGACAATGCAACAACCCGCCAACCCCAACTGCTGCCTCCCCCGCCACCTCTGCTCCGAGCCGCACGGCCTCGTCGACGGCGACCATCCTCCCAATCAATAATCTCGATCCCAGTTCCCCGCCGTCGTCGATCACCACCATTTCCACCACAACCTTCGCTGCGACGACGACGACCACAACTACGCCGCCACCGGTCGAAACACTCCCGACGTCTCGTCAGCCAACCACCCTCACCACAACCACTCCACCTCCAGCGATTTGGACTCGGTTCCAGCTTGTCTTTACTGCAATCGCATATTTACCTCACGCGCAGTCCCGGTTGGTCTCTTGTGGATTAATCGCACTGCGATCGGCGCACCACTGCCAAGACCCCCTACACACCGCATCCGCCCTCGCTTTCCACACTTTCGCCGCATGGGCCTATTCGGTCACATGTCTATCCACAACGGCGGAATTCACCGCACGATTGATGCGCCTTGCATATTGGCCAACCCTCCCATCCCCAGCCAAATCATCTACCCATCCATTAGCGCTACCACCACTATCAGAGCAACAGCGACTGTTCGCCGTGTGCCTGCGCGTGAGTTAGTTTAAAACGACGGTAGGCTTGCACAGCATACCCGCACTCTCCTCTTCCCCCAATTGTATCCGGTTTTAAGTCAGAGTCAAGAAGTCCCGGAGATAGTGCAGGTGACTGGCACTTAGGTCCCTACCACCACACACCCTGGTCTACAACGTACACGGACTAGGATCTCACCCAAGATAAAAGGTGGGGGGCGCGGGATGGATCTCAATTGGCGCGGCGTGCGCTTACAAATAGGCTTTTGGCCATGCCCTCAGTGTTGGCAGTTGTTGCTGATGCACACTTTCCGTAGCGTCTGCCGATCTTCAATCTTGCCTTTGTGTTAGTTCAGCGCATCTGCCGCGTTGCCCTCTTTGGGTGCACATGCGCCCTCTGGAACACCATTCCGAAGCAAGCATGCAGTCCACTCTGGCATCACCGATATGGCGGCTGGTCGCCACATGCCAAAAGGTTATCACATCTCAAGCAAGTGAGAAGCATATCCCTCTGCAGAGCCTGGTGTGGACCGGATCGTGTCTGGCACGCGTAGACTAACCGTCTGGCTTTGTCAGCTACTGCGTCCCTGTCCTCCTGACACTGTCGCGCCATCTCGTCGGAGTAGGTGAGAGGGGGGGAGGGTGCGCAAGTCTGTTTTACTGTGAAAAGGTCACGTACAATTCAGTGCCCCATACTCATCGCGCGATAGTTGTGGACATCGTGGCTTGCAGCAGGCAAACCATATTAGGTTAAAATGAAACGGGCAAGCCTAGAAGCATTGGCTTTGCTCTAAATACAGCCAGTCTCGTGAATCGTCATCGTGGACTACAGTTCACAGTGCGGTCTTTCCACGGTTGTCGACCTCTGGAAGAGGACGTCATCTGACGGTACTGTTCCCTTCAGAAAATATAGGTGTTTGTCTGTAGTCACTTTTAACTTTTGCGTTTTTGTAATTTTTCACTTTTGAGTCGGCAAAAACAAGTACGGGGAAGCGGACGGCGACCTTAACCCTAACCCTAACCTCAACCTTAACCGTTAACCCTAACGGCAACCCTGACCCTAACCGAAATCGTAAATGTAACCGTAGTCCTTAGACATAGCCGTAACTGAAAAACTTACTCATAATACTGGAACCTAATCGTACGCTCAAACCTTAACTACAACCCGAAAACCTAAGCCTAAAAGCGTAACACTAACCCGAAAATCGGAAACCATTAACCGGTACCCTAAGCCTAACCTTAAAGGTAAAAGGGAAGCCAAATGAGTCAGATGTGATTATGAAACCCCACAAAATAGCCCCAGTAAGCGAACCCCCCCGTCACCTGTAAGGCGGGGGCTGGCTACCAACTGCGATCTAGCCCAAGTACGGATGCTGCAAGATCCTTTTACTCTGCCGTATTCGATGGTTTACGGCGAGAGAACGTGAACAGAGACAAAGAAGTAACTCAACCATGGAGAGTTTGGGATCTCACTCACTTTAATTTCTAGGTTGTTTCCACTTAACGCATAGTATCATGACCCTTGTAAGTTTGACAAAACCAAAATGCCCGTTTCCTTCTGGGTTCGTCCCCTTAAAGTCGTCCTCGCTTTCGACGTGAAGCTGAAAAAATTTTGCTCTTATTACCTTTGTGCACCTTGCTTTCCTTTTAGGCAATGGGAAGCTGAACAGACCAAACAGAAGCCCAGTCTCGTACGTGCTGTTGCGCGCACCTTTCGACGTGACCTCCTTGTCCTGACGTTGATCTACTTCCTCCAGGTGCGATTCGCCGGCCAAAAATCTCTGTCGGCTAAGTTATGGAAAGAGTTTTTATGTTTTTACCGACAAAGACAAGGGAGACTGGAATGGCCATTTCTGGCTTATTGGCTGTCTTCAGCCAGTCATACCCAACCCCGAAGTGTGGGACACCTGGAGCTCGATCCCGTGGCCTGCTAGTTAGAAGTCCAACGCCTCTAACCACTGGGCCACAGGCTCGTTGTCCTGCCGGTTTTGATGGGGAATATACAATGGTAGCGGGACGCCCACCGATCATGCACCGCTGTGTGGCTGCTAGTTGGGCCCGAGAGAGATCCTGTAAGGCCCAACGGGACGAGTGAGTTCCGTAAGAACGATCGGTGAGCACCCCTCTACCAAACAGCTTTCAGTTTCACTCATTAAAGAATGTGTGCACCCAGAGTACGTACTACTTGTTTTGCCCACAAAATCTTTTTAACTTTCTGAATAGGTTTATTACTGTAGCACCTACTGGGCACTGTCAGTCTCCTTTGAACACAGGGAAAAAACCTGAACCAAACCCATCCATTTCAGCCGCACTTTGACTTCACTTGTTTTGAATTTCTGCTTTTTAAGTAGAGCGCGGATGGAAAATACGTTTTAAGTTGAAAAAATTCGAGTTCCAAGGCAAAATAATAGCAAGAGTTGCCTGAAAACTTCCACTTTTCATAGCAGCAGTCTTCTGGCCTTTGCCTCTGTTCATTTCGTTTCTTGCAGCAGCCGCTGCTGCAGCGATCTGTCCGAGCCTATCACAGGACTTTGTGTAAATGGCGAGGAGAGTGCTGTTTTATGTACTCCGCCGGTGCATTTTAGTTGTTCTAGGCTGATGTCAGACTACGCCGGTCTTAAAATAGGTCATGACCCGTGTAGTTCATTATTAACTAGACCGCGAACTTTTTGGTGTTTGCAAAGTCCTCTACAAAAGCACACGAGGACCACCAAAACAGACCTAGTGGACCCAGAGATTGATTTTCCCAAACCGGAAATGATCGCCTCGGTATTCAAAGGTGTTTGCGCAGTTGCGACATTGGGCCATTGGGTTAATAGATTACTTCTCCAATTTCTGATCCGAGGCTCCTGTCAGGCAGGTGAAGTATAACTGAACCAGTACATGGGATTCGCTCAGTGGGTGAAAATTTTTTTTTCGGTTACGTTGGAATTCCTGAACTCTGCGTGAGCCTTCCAATTGACTGAACGACCAAGCTGAACTTGAGCGTGTCTAGCCTTGCAGCCTGACTGTCGAGCCAGCCGTTTCAAACTTTGCGTAGGAATCTTCCGCCAATTGATGGTCATGCGGAGCCACCATTCAGTGGGTGATTACCTTCTGACGTGAAACTGGATGAATTGTACGTGATTACTGTTGTCACAAGTAAAGTCATGTTAGCTGAGCAGGTCAATCCACTCTGGACCATGAAACCTCCCTCCGCTCAGTGTCACTTTTCTCCATTCGAGATGACAGGAGACCCATTCTGAAGACTGAAAATGTAAACAGTTGCCTCCCGTCTATTCAGATATTTGCGCCTGACGTACTAAAACCTGCACTAATAGTACCCGGGATGCGCGTGACCAATAGCTCATGCAGTTTTCTGTTTTCGTTGAAGTAGAAGCAAAATTGTAAACAAATTTAGGCGTTATTTTGGTAACAATAACAATGATCGCCGGGTGCTTTTTCAAGATATTTTAGCCGCACATTCCCCTCTGAGTTTGAGATGTTGGCGTCCGTCATTCTGTCATCGTTAACATTGTTTTTTAACTGTTTTGTGTAATGAGTTTCGAAATGTATAATTTCCCCTTCGTGCACGTTTTGTGACAATAACGGAATAATGCTCAATCATACTTTAGATTTGTATCGGAGATTTGGAAACGCCATCTGTATTCCAGTTTATGCAGCCTGTTGACCTCTCGGAAGTTTTCTGGTTTTGCTGAAGTTACTCTTATTATGGGTCTCGGGGATAGTATGAGGTTTAGAACCCTCTGAAGCAGTTAAGATTGGTAGGACTGATTCTCCGCTGTCAGAGAATGTGCAGTTTAAGTGCGCGATGACATAAAGACCCGGTTATTTTCTCCATACTAATCAGTGGTTTGTTGCACGTTCTTTTCACCTCCAACCTGGCTTCCCCCGTGTGAAGTTATTGGGCGGTATATTGGATATGACGAAACTTGCCAGGGTAACTGTACACCACCAAGTCAAAAGTTATTAAGCGTCCCGAGAGAAGGATCCCTCAGGCGTTCAAACTCTTCATCCCACTCGTTCACCCCTGTCTTACCTGGCTAAATACAGGGCACAGTTTGCGTTTATAATCTGGTCTTTTATGCTCAGAATCCGGCCTACTTGGAGGAAAAGTTGCAGCACAAGTCTCCAGTGTATTTGTTGTCGTCCTTTTTGCTGTCTTCCAGACCGCCTGCCTTACCTACAGACCTATCGTAATGCGCGATCTGCTCCGCGCCCTCTTCCTCATCAAGGAGTCCTCGCAGATCATGCCCGCCTGCCTTCTCACCGCGGCCCTTCTCGGTTTAACACTTTGCTCGACGGCCCTGAAAAACGCCAGCTTCTGGAACGCCTTATGCGGTGGTATGCGCCTCCGACTCTCCATGTCAGGCCTCATCTTTAATAAGGTACGCAGTTAGCACAAGAAACCCAAGAGAATGACATCCGCTTTATTCATCTTTTGTCTTGCCCTCGGGTGTAGTGCAGACTGCAGTGTTCGACAGGCCTGATAACCGCGGTCGTCTAGACTGTAGTGTGGAACTCTAGACTCACTGGAATTTCTCCCACCACCCTTTGAAAAGATGCCATGTTTACCGAATGCTAACGCTTTTAAAGCACTGCGTACGTTTCAGAATGCAAAACTCGTTTTTGGTAGCCAGGCCTGTCGAAACAAACGAAAATGTTAATTTAAGGAGCAATTGACAGGAAGGGGACGGGGTGGTCGGCACAAGAATTTCCGCCCTAGATTTTGGATGCGCACTGTAACCAGCATCAGCATCATCAGAGGCACGGAGGTTGCAGTATTTATATGATGCAGTTGCCGTGCCGACACATACCTACCGAAATTGGCGGCTCTCGAATTTATCGCATTTGGTTGTAGTTAGTACGACGATGACTTCATTGTCCTCAGCGTTGTTCTTCCCTTTTACCGTCTCCACATTTCGTTCAGTGCATTTTCCACATTATAAATTACAGGAGTAAGTAGACCATGGACTCCTTAAATCCACCCCTGGTCCATCAAGTAATTTCTCTATTTCCCTTTTTCAGATGCTCACATTGAATCAGAAAGCCATGGCTACTGCGTCGCTCGGTAACATAATTACCCTCGTCTCCGTGGATGTTCAGAAACTAGAGGCGGTAAGTTAACTAGCACATGACATTATTTACTCAGCGTGTTAAATAGTATTTAGCTCCGCTCTTTTTGTCCTCTTCTGTCTATTTGGTTCGGAGATTTATGCCATAAAACGAGGCAGATCTTATGGCCTCCGATGTTTGATTTAATTATAGGTAAAAGACTCATCAAGCACAAAAAACTGCTTGGTCTTTCGAACCCCAACAGGAACTTGTCGTCAAAAAGCCACACAGGCAGCGATTTTGCAATCGGCAGTTGTGGAGCTTTACACCGCAGTTTGCGAAAAGGGCTTTTTTATGTGAGCGAATGTTCGGTCTGTCAGTCGATTGAATTCCGTGAGAACTCTGATTGCCTTGATCTCTGTCGCTGAGGTTATCTTCCCAGATTCTGACTGAGGATTTCATGCAGACGATGGTGCTAACATAGGTTGGAACTCATTGAGTCAAGTTTATTGATATGGGTTTGATTCCAATTATGCGAGCAGAAAGTCAGGTGGACCCTATTGTACAGTAGGCCATGTCCGATTTCTCACGAGGGTTTAACTTACTGTTGTGATTGTGCAAACCACTTATAATGACTTTGAACCGGCTAGCAATTGCGAGAATCACTCCTGCGTTGGTGTATTCAGCCACCTATAGCGTATTTTCGACTAACAACCTGATCCGCTGTATGGTTAAATAGATTAAGACATTGGTATCACCCCCCCCCCAGTGTCTAGGTGCCTAGCATCAACAACAACAACAAGTCACCAGCTGGTAATGAATGCGCGGGCTGTGCAATGCGGAACCGAGACTGCTATGCTGACTCCGGAGTTTCTATTGGAAATCCAGGCTTCCGAAAGAGCTTGATCAGTTTTTTTTCACCCCGCGCCATCCATGCCCGTTCTCGTGGTCTGCCACTAAAACTATGGGAAACAGCTTGTGCAACAGTTAACCCCTTCGAATCGCCAGTTTGTAGTCGTTTATTTGTTGGTCGAGCCTGCGTGCGGCTTAGCCTGTATAATTGCCTTGACAGGTGTGGCATCAAATCTCATCTGCATCTACTTTAGTTGTCCCTCAAGCTTTATGTTCCTTGGATCACACTCGATGTGAAAAATCTCCTGTCACCAAGCTAGGTCCCATTTGTTTAGGAAGCACTTTCATCGAACAAAAACGCAATTCATCAGTAATTATTTAGAAAACAGAACATAATGCTTTCTTAAAGTGACGATGAAATAGGCAGAAAGTGTATAGTGTGCAATGAGAGTCTCGAGAATTGATAGAAAAATGGCCCACGGTGTTATATAATGGCGTTCGTTAGGTGAAAGCGAAAAGCATTCAAAAAAACTGAACTTAAGACGCGTTTACCGGAATCTGCATATTCGTACAGGAATTCTGTATCAGAGATAGGGTGAGTACGACATATGGCGCGACATTTGGGAAGCAATGGGGTCAATCCACGGAAAAGTCAAATTTTTAGAGATGTTCTTGCAGAGCGTTATACACAGATGGTAAATTGGGTTACTGGCTAGTTGATTTGAGATCAGATCTTTAAATCCCGGCTGACTGTGATAGCATGTCTTTTACACTTGTCGGCCATTCACCTTTGTGACTGAGATGTTAAGGCCTGACCTCTTCCTGAACTGGGCGTGGATTCGTTAGAACCAGCCACCGCGTCACACAGATGGTTCGTCCTAGCATCATTACGGTCGTACCCTTGTACGGCACCCAATAAGGTACCGCGACTTGGGCATTTTTTTCTTTCAGTGATATTGTGATTTACACGGCCGAAGATGATACATAGTTCCCGCATTATATCGTTTTTGATTAAGTGCTAAAAAGGAAGGTAACCTGAATCTCCTATTTTGTTGTAATGACTTTTTGTACTTTCTCAAAATCCTTGGTTCCAAATTCTTACATCAACTCTGTCACTCGCTCTTGCTTCGGTCTGGTTTCCATTGGCCTCACTGGTTCTTCATATGTGACAGTTCGACCATCGATTTCGATGATGTCCACCGTGTGCCCCACAGCAGATTGGAGCAGGGACGGTGACTTGCGCAGGAGTTTAAAGTGCCAGTAGACTTGCGCTGCATCGACCTACACTCTCTCCACTTCCCTCGCCCGAGCCCGGTGTCAAGACAGAGTCAAGAAGACCGGAGACGAGGGAGACCGCAGGTGGATGGCTCGGACGGATCCTCACCTTGGCGTTTCACCACACCCCCTGGTCCACACAACAAATAACCAGGATTTGAACCAACACAACATAGATTTGGAGGCTGGCACGGCCGAAGCCGCACCTAGGCGTGCCGGCAACGCCTGGCTCGGATCCCACACTGCGATGGGAGTGCCATAAAGGCCACATTAAAAAGGAGCCATTGCAGCCTGACTCTCAGATCGCCTCCGGTCAAGAAGGAGGTCCAAGTTACCCCGTCAGTTGGCAACCTTCCAAGCCACGGCTTTTAGCGCACCGTGATAGCTTCAAGCGCGTCAGATTGATTATAGTGATTAAAAAGTGCGCTGAGTCGTCGACCTCACTCTCCCTTCCCATTCCCACACTCCAGCCGCCGTCCGAGCCGGTCGGCAAACTGGAGTGGTAGGTGGGCGCGGTGGCTGCCACGGTCGACTGACCGTGACTGCGCGCGCCACAGCACGACCTGGCCCCCCATGCACACACAAACACCAGGATTTCACACAAGGGGGGTTGAACGGCGTGTCTCTCACTTGCGTGAGAGTGCCGTGGAAGGTGCTGTTGCAGCCCGTTCCCAGTCCACCAGTCCGCCACTCCACACAGCACACACACACAAGGCGACGCACTGCGTGAACCGAGAGCGGGCATCAATCAGCAACCTTCCTATCCACGACACTTGAAGTGTCGGGATAGTCTCGGACTCAAATCACCCGTACAGCCGAAGCCGCGTGGGAACCGAAACGAGATGCACACTTCCCGCTTGCGTGGAAGGTGGCAGTTGGTGCATGCGGTGGGTAAGTGTTGATGTGTGTTGGTGATGGTGGAGGAAGGTGGGGAGTGTGTGGATGTGTGGTGTAACCGGCGGTTGTCTACCGCAGGTCGTCGTGGATGCGCATGTGGCCGAATAGGCCCATGCGGTGCCTGAAAGTGCGAGGACAGTGTGGACAGTTGAGACGAGCTTGGTGGGTGTAGGT